GGTCCGTGGGACGGCACAGAGGAGCAAGCAGAGCCCAGGCTCAGCCTGCAAAGTGGGCAGGCTGCCAGCCCATGCTGGAGCACTTCACCTCCCTGCCGCCCCTTGCCCATTAGCAAAGACGAGGTATTAAATACAGATCTCTAAGATATTTTGAAACTTATTACAAAAGTTGCTCTTCAGAAAGCAGAGTTTATCACGCTGGCTGATCGCAGGCATTGGTGGCAGAGCGAGGAGGCAATTCCCTTGAAATACTCTCTTGGCATTCAAACTGTTACTGCAGAGAAATATTAAGCAGCAGCAATTGCCTGTCTGCACGTGCTGCTGAGGCTTTTTAAACTCATCCTACAAGCAGCAGATGGCCCTTGATACAGTACCACAAAAAGAGTGTCCGGAGGCTTGCAGACTACCCAGCTGCTGGCAAGGGCTCCCCACAGCAGTGCTCTTGCTTGCCCGCGCCCCGTGCCACAGGCAGACGCGGACACCCTCTGTCCCTTCCTCTTCTTCTGGATAAGCCACCTGTGCTGCTTTTATTTTTCTTGTTACTGAAAAGTTCCCTCTCACCTCCCTCCCAAGAGGAAGGCGCAGGCAGCAGGAGGAAGCCGGGGTGCTGGGCAGCCAAGCTATACATACAAGTAGTACCAGTTCAGAAAGGGAATCGGTTCCTTGTTGCCCTCCACACCCTCCGTACATGTATGGCCACGGAGGAAAATACAGCCAAATGATTGCACAGTAACCCAAGAAACCCATTCAGGCTACCTCAGCTTAGAAAGAAATACCAGAGCAGAAAAGGGTGTGTAACACAGCAGAGGCCAAAAATGTTAATATGTAACTGTAAGGAGTTTTGTGAGGTAAGTACTCTGGTTTGCTTTTAATTGTCTTTAATAGTTAGTCGATATTATAACAAAAATCAGTTTAGAGAAACAAACTGAAAGGAAGCACATAAAGAACACAAAGTTATGCCCAAATGTCTCAATCTAAACTAAAGCTTTTTTATCTGGTACTATTGGAGGATGCAATGGAAGCCGACATTCATGTAACAGGTTTTACAGAGACAAATTATCTCAGAAGTAACTGTTTTACATCTTGTTTATTAAGAAATTCTGCAGGCACTGCCTGTACTTGGAACGGCCTGCTGTGTGATCCACTTTAAGGAACTGAGAATATACTTTTTAAAAGCCATTTTTTAAATTCAGCTTTACAAATTGGAAAAAAGTTACTATTAAAAAACTATAAGGCTCAATGAGTGAGTTTTTAATCCAGAGAACTTATTCATTAGCAAGGGAATCTACTTCTGGTTGTGTTTGGGTATATTTTTTCTTTGTATCTTAAGTGTCCCCAATTTCAGATAATTGGCTGAACTCAAATCAAGCACGCACAAGCAGCATTATCACATTATCTTGGTCTTCAGTGCCTTTTAGAATAAGGAGAGCAGAGTGCCACATCCATTTCCACTCCAAGCCTGCTTCATCTACATAATGTTAACTTGATGGAACCTACAGCAGCGCTCATACTTCCACCACGGTTCTGGTCATTTCCAGTAATGGTCCATTTGAATGGCATCATCTTTTGGACTGAAAAGGGAAGGGAGTGGGGCGAAGGGAATCAAGATGTTTCTTTGGCAACTCTTACATATTGGTGGTGGAAATATCTAAGGTTTTATTATTTATCATATATCCTGCGTAAAAAACCAAGGCTATATGGTACAAACAAAGGGTCTAAAGAAAAGTATTAAACCTACCAAAAATGTAGAACCTCAAGACTAAATATTTAAGTTGCAGAGAGAGGAAGTAGTACCGCCAGCCACGGACCACAGCGCTCTGTACACACAGACTGATAAGAGGCTTAAAAATCATTGTCGGGGCACAGAAGTGTCACCCTGTGCATGTATGTGACAGCGCTGTTCCTCTGGAAGCTGCTGCAGACTGGCACGGGCAGCTGCACTGTGAAGCACAGAGATGCAGGGGCACCTACACCAAGGTTTTACAAAGCTCAGGCTCCAGCTCCTGAAATCCCTTTAGTACAAAGCTGCTCTACTGCACTAAATTGCTTTTCAAAGCTCTGATCCACCGCAGAAAGTTGTTAGGGACGGATACTAAGTAACTCGCTAGTTACCACAAGTTTAGACTTCAGACTTTGGTAATTTAAGACTTTCTGAAATTATGGTTTACTAAATCTATATATGGAGTTCAAACTAAAAACTTCACTGCAAAGCTTTCATTTAGTCTCCTTTAAGTGTGGTTCTGGAAGGAGCTGGCAGGTCATCCTATAATGCGGAAACAGACACAGCATTTAAAAATATTTAAAAGCCATTCAAACAGCCTGTACATTGTGAAACATGCCTAGAAGAAAATACCTGTCCTGCTTCTAAACTAAGTTTTCCATTTCTGCAGAACTTCCAGATCCGCTCATCAATCACTATCAGCTCCATTTTACAGTTCAACAAATCAGCTTTCTTTCACAAAACCTTCAGAACGTGAATACAGACTGTTTCAGCACAGTCGCAACCAAGTGAACTTTTATTGTTTATTTTCAGCACATAGCTGATGAGGACCTGAATTACCCCACTGCTGATTAAAACGAGCCACCTGACTGTATCTGATCTGTTAACAGATGCAGAGCCCTGGTTTGCAAGCAAACATTTCAGTGGAACTGGTAGAAAATGGTGGGCTCCAAGAAATATTTGCTAGAGACATGGAAGTGGACCTAATGGCTTAAAAGTAGAATCCAGGTATGTGAATCTTTAAGACTA